TAGGGACACACCTGTCACAGGGAGGGACACACCTGTCACATGTTAGGGACACACCTGTCACAGGTGTTGCAGATATGAACATGTATAAAATTGTGACACATGTTAAAGAAGGGACCTGATATTTAAAAATAGAAACGTTTTCAGTTATCATTTTGTTGAACACCAAACAGAACCTTCAGCAGCTCATGTTCTGGTTCTGCTCAAAAATCTGAAGCCCTGAAATGAAAACCTATTTCTTGAGTCTGAGTGCAGAACCTTTTTAAAGTTCTGGGTTCTGGCTCGGATAAATTCTGTCTGTGTCTCAGCTTCAGGCAGGAAGGAGCTCAAACTCACAGGTTTCGCAGAATAATCTGCTTATTGCTCCAATAATCCCTCTGTGCGCACCCCATTAAATGCCATAATCTGATGTTTGTGTTCAGGAGATCCAGCTCCTCAGGATGTCCAGTCCAAAGCAGAGGACAAAGTCCGGCCCGGTGCTCAGCGCCGACTGGCACCAAAACCGCCCACAGCCGGGTCCAACAGCAGAACTGCTGCTCAGACTGCTGTCTCGGCTCCAGACGCACGGGTTCGAGCCCGAGAACGTCCAGGGTCCGGCACACAGCCCTGCAGCACACCCAGGACTCAACGACGAGCTGCAGGAGGAGGAGGAGGAGGAGGGAGAGGAGGAGGAAGAGGAGCAATGAAGGAGAGAAGCATCGTGGAAACCAGAGGGAGGGACGGAGGGACCGATAGGAGAACTGGACGGCTGTGTGAGGACTCCAGGACAAAGGACAGGGACAGGAATGGACAGAGACAGAGAGAGGTGAACGGCCTTAAGGGACGGGCCCCTGATGGGAGAGGAAGAGGAGGGACGAAGGTGAGCAGCAGAGGAGAAGGAGGAGAAGGTGGAGGAGGAGGTACTGTCCGGTCAAACAACAAGCTGCCCAACCAGAAAGTCTACCTGCCTGCCATGGTGGTTCCACGCACACCTGTAGCACCCAGAACCCAGGAGCAGAACCAGAACCAAGGTCAGGACACAGCTTCATCTGTACTTCCTGATTTACAGTCAGAACATCTGATCACTTGGTTAATTTATCTATTTATGAAAACATCCTGCTTGTTTACAGATTTAGATTTGTTTGTGTTTATGTATTTGCATGTTTTTGGGCTTTCTCAGCTGCCGTACTTCTTGGGACAGAATGTTACCAACCAGGACCTGAAGAACAGTTCCTTTGAGTCAGAATTCTTCAGAAGCTTTAAATCTGTTGCTGAAATAAAGTCCACTTTCTCTTCTCAGGCCAAAACCACGACAGAACCCACGATGACCCTGCTGCCCTGTCCCTGTCCAGCAGCGAGGGGGGGTCCAACAGGATGTCCCTGGGCTCAGACACAGAGGGACCCCCACCAGAACCTCTGCATCCATCTCTGTCCTGCAGAGCCAACCCAGACATAAGAGAAGAAGACGGAGAAGGAGCTCCAACTCCCTGTCTGTTCATCCAGAACTATCCCACCTGCAGCCTGACAGATGAAGACAAACCAGAGATGGACTGTACCAAGTCAGAATTAGGGGGAGAGCCAGGTGAGCCTGTGGTAAACAACATATTGGACCAGACAGAACCAAAGAGCGAGGCTGCTGCTGGGCTGAGTTATGACTCTGTTAAATACACCCTGGTTGTGGACGAGCACGCCCAGCTGGAGCTCGTGAAGCTGAAGAACTGTCTCCATGGACCCACAGAGGACAATGAGCATGAGGACAGCGACACAGAGACTGTCTACCAGTCAGCCAACGAGGAGGAGGACCCCGAGTACGAGCAGGAGAGGAGGAGAAGCGAGGACGCAAGGAAGTTAGGTAACAAGATTTTATTTTAACGAATTAGGACACAAGGTGTGAGATCAAATGAACAAAATTTAGAAATAACAGAGGTGCTCCTCACCTCCGAGGCTGAGACAGAGCAAGATCAGTCCAGCTGCTTGGATCCAGGATCTTACAATCCTGAGCCAAACCTCACGACCAGAGGTGAAGTAGAAATGTAGATGAACCAGTAAATCCAGAGCTTTGCTTTCAGCTCAGCTTTTATTTCACCACGACTGACCGGATTAACACCTTATTACTGCATATAAAGGCTCTAATCCATTGGTATACCTCCTGCTCCAAACTACCATCACTTAGGAACAAGACTCCCCCCAACCCAGAGGAGCTCAAAGACAAGTGACATCTGCATAAAAATATATCTTGTGTTGTCTCTTTTAATTAAAGTGTAGCCAAAAAACTAAAGAACTCAACACTTCACCTTGTGGAACGCCATTACTGTATATAAAACCTGTTTGTATTTTCGGATGTAAGAGTTAACTTAACTTGTATTTTTTTGTTTAAAGAAAGTAGAAAAGAGGAGGAGAAGAGAAGAAAAGAAGAGGAGGTGAAGAGGAGGAAAGAGGAAGATTTAAAAAGGAGGAGAGAGGAGGAGGTGAAGAGGAGGAGGGAAGTAATTGCAGTTTCCAGGGTTTGCAAGCAGTCCAAGGTGACATCAGCCACAACCTCAGAGGAGGAGGAGTCTAATGGAAGAAGAGGCGGAGCTCCAAGGAGCAGAAAGTTCCTCAACCTTTTCTCCAACAGCAGCAGTCAGTACAGCTCCACAGGTGTGTCATTTAATTCAATTCAATTCCAAACATCCATTATCTTTACCCGCTTCTTCCTTTTCGGATCGCGGGGGTCGCTGGTGCCCATGTCCAGCAATCACTGAGCAAGCACAATGGTAACAGTGGAAAGGAAAAACTCCCTTTGAACAGGTAGAGTAAGCAAAGACAGTAGCAGAGTGAAGAACTGTGGTCAGTTTGTCCTCCAGCAGTCTAAGCCTATAGCAGCTTAACTAAGGGATAGCTCAGGAAACCCAAGTCAACCCTAACTATAGGATTTATCACAAAGGAAAGACTTAAGAGGGATTTTAAAAATCAGCCTCATGGACAGAAACTGGAAGGTGGTTCCACAAGAGAAGAGTCTGATAACTGAAAGTTCTGCCTCCCTTTCTGGTTTTGGAAACTCTAGGAACCACAAGTAAATCTGCAGTCGGAGAGAGAAGTGCTCTGTTAGGAAAATATGGAACAATAAGATCTGTAATATAAGAATTTAGAGAACAAACAGTCCAAATTTGTTCTGGGAGGGTAACATTGGCTCTGTGGTGCTCAGGTGCCGGACCCTTTGGTGTGTTCTCCTGTGTTCTGGACGGTGTGGAGCGGCAGCAGAGCCACAGGGCGGTCTACAGGTGAGCAAATGCAGAACTCTGCAGTTATAACATCAACCCATGATGCTGATATCTGCCTTTTATTTGTTTCTGATTGCAGATTTGTACCCCGTCACGCAGATGAGCTGCAGCTGGAGACGGACGACCCGGTTCTGCTGCTGAAGCAGAGTGAGGATCTGTGGTGTCAAGGCTACAACATGAGGACCGGAGCCACCGGGATCTTTCCCGCCTTTTATGCTGTTAAGGTGCCCAAAGACCCGAACCACGGTAAACATCTCCACAGAAACAACTTGACTTCTGCGCCATCAGAGCAGCGACTTCATTCTGTTCTCCTGTCCTGCAGTCCAGAACGACGGCTGGTCCGAGCAGTTCATGGTGCGGTTTCTGGGTTCGGTTCAGGTCCCGATTCATATGGGTGATGACGTACTGTGCGCAGCGATGCAGAAGGTACAGACAATCTGAAACCTTAAGATCAAATGAACATCTTAAAACAAATGTCTCTAAAGTCAAGGAACTGAAACTGAACCCCAGACTGACGGTTGATGTGCTAACAGGTAGCCTGTAACAGGCGGTCAGCTGGTCAGCCGGCGGCGGCCTGTGTTCTGGAGGTCAGCCTGAAGGGCGTGAAGATGAGTGTCCAGGACCAGTGCCACTCTGCTCACCGGGTACGCCCCTGACCAAGACAACCTGAAGTACTACAGCCTGCAAGCAGGAAGCAGAATTATTAACGGAAACAGACAAAAACAAACCGAAGAAACAATAACTTCTGAATAACTTGACTTCAACGTTCTGAACAAGACATTAGACATTAGGAAAGGAAAAATAAATCTAAGCAGTAGCTCAAAATACTAAAGCAGATGCTAACGTTGGCAAAACTGTAGCGAAAATCAGCTAAACAAATGCTAAAACAGAAATTAGCAAAGCAGTGGTCAAAACTGTCATAATTAAAATTAATAAAACAATAGTGAAAATTAGCTAAACCAACTAAATTAGCAAAACACATGCTAAAATTTGGATAAGTGTAGCTAAGAGCCGCAAAAGAGATGCTAAAGCTGAAATAAACAAATTTAAAACTAGCAAAACAGTAGCTTAAATTAGCTAAACTAACTAAAATTACTAAAACAAAGGCTAAAGCTAAAATTGTCAAAATAGGAACTACATTTTGCAAAACAGATTATATAATTAGCATAACTGTAGATAAAAGTAGCAAAAATGTATAAATATGTAGCTAAAAGTATAAAAAAAATGCTAAAACTACAATACATAAATCAGTAGTTGGCAAATTGGCAAAACTAGCCTAAACTAAAAATAAGCAAAATGATAGCTTAAAGCTAAAGTTTTAGAATAGTAGCTAGATGCAGCAAAGTGTTGCTAAAACATAAACATAGCAAAACAAATGGTAAAGCTAAAAGTAACATAACATTAACTAAAAGTCAAAAGTTGTAAAAAAGTAGCTAAAAAAGTCAAATGTACCTAAAAGTGACAGAATGATAGCTAAAAGTACCTGAAAGCTAAAAGCAGTAGTAGAAGACAAAAACAACCAGTAGGTGAAGCAGATTTTTAAGGGAACAACGTTTTGGAAAGACTTGAAAATATTTCTAAGGACAATTTTATTCAAAAGAAATATTGTGAAAAATAAAACATCTATATGTGTAAGGTTAAAATCTGAATCTTGTTTCTGCGTTTCTGTCAGGGAGACCAGTGTTTCCATTTCTTCCAGCTGAAGAACATCTCTTTCTGCGGCATCCATCCCAAACACAACAGGTGAGTCCAACTGCCACACCTGCACAAGGATTTATTATCAGGTGTGTTCCCGCAGCTGGTTTGAATCAGAACATCTCTTGTTTTTGTGCTGCAGATATTTTGGATTCATCACTAAACACCCGGACCAACATCGCTTCGCCTGCCACGTGCTGATGTCCAACGCATCGTTACACCCTCTGGCTGAAGCTGTAAGGTGAGACTAGTGTTGCCACCTTTCAGAAATTAAAATAAGGGACGCCCACCACGGCTCCGCTGGACTACGACCGCAATGGGGCTGACACGTGGGGCGGGGCGCACCCAGCAGTGGTATGGTTTATTTTGTGCCAGTGTTTTTAGTACAGGGGGTGATCAAGAAAGCAAGTAGTCATATTTAAAGCTTGAAATGCTTTATTAATAATGAACACATTCTCTTATAAAGTGCAATTAATTAAATCTTAAATGAAATCCGTCTGTGTGGAGTGTGCAACAATAAACGTTTAAAATATAAACTAAATAAATTGAGAAATTCAATTAACTTTAAGTGCACATTTATCTGCTTATTTAATAAGAAAAAAGCACAAAACGCTACTCTTTCCCTCAACAGTGTTGGGTTAATCAGAAATTGTTGCTTTTTTTTTTTTTTTTTTTTCCAGGTGTACTTCTTTGTTACTTGATGCTCAGACAATGAATAACACAAAGACACAGACTTAAATACAAACACTGACGAGGACTAAACTCTAAACACCTGTCAGGCTCACAGATGTGGGAAAGGGGAAATCATACAAAAGGAAACAGGACAGAGACACAATCACCACAATGATTCGGTTCAGTTTTATGTAAGAGTTTTCTGTAATTATTTGAAATGCCAATACATTTATCTTCATTATATGTGAATAAGGTAAAGTTTTAAAGTGGTTTTTGATACTGTTAATTTTCTCAAAACTGTATTTTTTGGAAGTTGAAATTAAAAATGTTGCCAATTGTGTCTTGAATGAAAAATACCCCGTGTTTAAAAGACTAAAAATTGTATTAACACTATTAAAGAACAGGTCTTAAGTATTTATGTTACACAAATATTTCTATTGCATTAAAGAGACAAACTGAAGAAAATTGTTTAATAAACATGAGGGTTATGAGGGGGGTCCCTGAAACTTTTTCTCCCCTGTAAGGGGTCCCTGAACCCAAAACGTTTGAGAACCCTGCTCTAATTAATACCAGTAATAATGCTCCTGTAAGTAATCTAATTACTTCCTATATATTTTTTTTTCTCAGGAGGGCATTCCAGCAGTATTACAAGGAGCACATTGGATACTCCTGTCCCACGGAGGACATCTTCATCGAATAACCCCTCCCCATGAACTGAAGACTACCTGCATGGAAGCCTGGTCTCACATCCCGACAGGACCACCGATATATCCTCTGCATGGTGGACCTTTCTTCTGATTTTGGCTGCACCCTTTAACCGAGTCACCGTGTGGACGGGTCGGGACCAGAACAGATGTAAACCTGCTCCAACCGCCCAACAATCCTGTGATAATCATGCACTTATTGACATCAATTATTTTAACGTAACCATAAATAGATATTATACACCAAAGTACACAAAGAGCATTAATCGATACTCTTTTAAATTATAATTAAAAACAGCAACAGGTAAACAACAACAGCAAACAGATTAAGATGCCAAACAACTCTAAAGAATCAGATGAATAAGTTTAACTCAATACGTATCAAAAGAAACAGACTATCAGCTCTAAACCAACCTCATAAGAATACAAAACATGTTTTAAAGAGTCCAAAAGAAAAAAAAAAACACTAAAGAAATTAAAAGTTAGGGATCATTTTTGGTGATCATGAACAAACTCTCACAGAAATGCAAACAGACCCAACAAAATCAACTAAAACCTCCAACACCTCCCATTTATTTACATCTTCCAAACACTTCTCTTTAAATGAACAAATAATCAGGTGAAATAAAACTAAAAGATCTGTTTATAATCACTGAAATGTCCTTAACTTCTGCAAGACTGGACTGACTTGAGTTTAAAAACTCCTCAAATATCAGATTTGAACCAAAGTTTAACTAAAGTGCTTCTAATCTGCAGCACGTCCTTCAAAATTCAAAAGTTTTGTGCAAACATGTCATTTCCAGGTATTTTTAGGAAATTATAAATGTTTTCAGAAAATTCCCACAGATTTGGCTGTTAGTCTGCAGCTGTTTGTTGTCTCCCTCCTCAAAATAAAAAAACAACACCAGAAAATAATCAGGATATTAAACAAAATCTGAATATTTTAAATTGGTGTGGATTGAAATCTGCAGCAGAATCTCCTAAAACGAGTCTGTTTGATGAAATCCTGCTTCAGGTTTTCACTCATTAAACCAACAAACGGAACTTTTTATGACGTTTAAAATCCACAAAAAGTCTGACACTCTGCACCAGTCCAGACCTGATCCTGGTTTTTACAGAACCATCTGGACCTGCTCGTTTCTTTGCACAGGTTGATGTTTGCAGAAATTTAAAGATGTATTTTTTAACCTTTTAGATGTGACAATCGGCTGTTTCAAAGGCAAAGGTGCCTCATTTGTTTTTGCTGCTTTTCTCTTTTCTTCCAAATGTTAACAAAGCTTCATGCAGGTTCTCCTGTTTGAAGCTGAGGCTGAAGCTGAAACAACGCTTCACAGGTTCTCCTGCAAAGCTTCATGCAGGTCCTCCTGCCTGAAGCTGAGGCTGAAACGACGCTGTGCAATCTCATGTGTGTTTGTGACCAAACGGACCGAGGGAAGGTTTTCTTTGTGCCGTCGTATGTTTATGTCACTTTAAGGTTTTGATGCTTTTATCTGCTAAAATCAAAGTTTTCTGTTTTTAATCAAACTCATGGGTCCATCTTCATCCTGATGATCAAGATGAGGAAGAAGAGGGTCAATCATGTTTGGTTAAAAATCTGCTGCAGGTTTTTATTGATGATAAAAATAAACAAATAAATGAAAAGATCTCTTAAACTTAAAAAAAAAAAAGCAGCACAAACTACGTTTCAAGACTTAGAAAAACTTGACCTTTTCTAAAAGTTGGCTACAAACAGGAAAACACACCAAAACGATCAGAATCGATCCTCCTGCTGCCCTTGGGTCAAAATGACTCGAGACCTCCAGGGTCAGTTTAACCCAAGGGCAGCAGGAGGGTTCAACACAAAACAACAGAACAAAACTGTGAGACAGCAAAGTGACAAATAAATAAATAAACACAAACAGCTTCCAGAAGTTAGAAAACACATTTTGGGATTTAAAAACAAAGTTAAGTTTCAAGAAGTGATTTTCTGACATGCTGAATGTTGTGCTGCCCCTGGTGGCTTCAGCACTTCCTGCAGCTTCAAGGTTCTCCTCCATTCAACCAGATCTGAGCTGATAAAACCTGAAAAAAAATTAATTTTTCTTTTTAAATGTTTATTTTTAAATGAGACCCAGTGCCTGTATTGATTTGTTTTCTGTTGAAGACGAAAAAGAGTCACAGAACCAGATCCGAAAGAACTGCTGGTTGTGTTCAGATGAGGGTCTCGGTGCACCTGAGGCGGTTGTCATGGAAACAAGACTGGTTTCACCTGATGTGGTTGCCATGGAAACATGTCAGCTTTAAAACTGAGGCCCTAATATATATATATATATATATATATATATATATATTTCCAGATTTCTGGAGTTTACCTGAGGACCTCAACTTCATGACCCACAGCAGGGACTCGACCCCCAACTTTGGGAACCACGGTTCTTATGCACCGTTGGTGATGACCCGGTCAGAATATAAACCAATTAAATTTAATCTCAGTTAATTTGCACCAAATGTCAACAAACATTCATCTGAAGGTGAACATCATTAATTAACCATCAGAATCTGAAACAAACTGAGTCCAGTTCTGATCCGTAACGGAGTGAACAAAAGCAGCCAAAGTCCAGAAAACAACTCGTTTGGCATTAGTCTCTGCATTTAACCCATCCACCACCAGGTGGTGCAGTGGGCAGCTATTGAAAGCGCCCGGGGGCATTTTGGGGATGAGGCGTGCTGCCCAGAGACGCCACGTGATGTGCAGTGACTGGGGATCGAACCTGGGACTTTTGGGTCCCAAGCCGGCTGCCCTGCCTCTACGCCATCTCTGGAAGCATGCAGCTGAGTTTGTTTCCATGGCAACCATCGGATGTGCACCGCTTTAAACTGCTCCCCTGGAAAGTGTCCTTGTTTTTTGTTTTTTTTTTTCCACCTGTGGTTCTACATGTACAGAACTCGTCTCCATGGAAACGTCCTGATAACTCGTGTATGAATGTTTGCTGTCTGTGAGTGGACCGCCGCATGATGTTAGACAAACTGAAGACGAGACGCTCAGAAGTGAAGCTGGAGCTGGTTGTTGTCAATAAATTGGTCTGATCTGCAGCTTTAATCTTGTCTCTGAAGTGTTCACTCTAAAACCCAACACTCTGAGCTGGAAGTCCATCCAAACCCGGGTCAAAACCCACCCAGGACGCCAGTTGTTGGCTAGGTTTGCACCCCTCTTGGTATTCTTCCTGTTTTGTTGCCCTACAAATGGGAATTTAATCAGGTTTTTAATTTAAATAAAGGAATAATTATCCAGAAAGACTTCAGATTAATGATGTTAAACAGTGAAAGAATCCAAAACAAGTTCAGTCAGAACCACCTGTGAATTATCCAAGAGTCAGATGATCTCAGTTTATCTCCAATGGTTCTGACAGAACCAACTCCTGTAAGCAGTACAGGCCAACACACAACAAGAGACATCATGAAGGCCAAGGAATTCTCCACACAGGTCAGAGACAAAGGTGTGAAGAAGAACAGGTCAGGGGTGAGTTATTAAAATATCCCAGACCCTAAATCTGTCATCAGGATGCTAAAGATGAGAAAGAGGGGCGAGACACACCCAGGAGGACAAAGATAATTTATGGAGGTTCTGTCCAGAGGCCCACTAGAAGCTGCTCAGAGCTGGACCTCACGGAGGAGCTGCGGAAAAAGATTCTTGTTTGATTTAAAGATCGTTGGGACACAAGCAGCACCAGCCAACCAGAAGAAGCTGCAGCAGTTTGGACGTGAAGGAGGACAAAGTCCAGGTTGGACGGACCAAGATCAGGGGGCAGATCTGGAGACATAAAGGACCAAGACCACAGAGGTGGACCTGAAGAGACCTGATGCACAAGATCAGGAAGACATACACAAAGAGACCTGATACACCAAGATTGTGGAAATGGACATGAAGAGACCTGAAGAACCAGGATCATTGAGATGGACCCAAAGGGACCTGAAGGACGAGGGTCATGGGGACGGACTTGAGGACACTGGGTACTGGTGAGAACACACTGGCCATTTCAGTTTTGCTCATAAATACTTTTAATATTGAAAAACAAATAAAATGGTCTGATGAACAAAATGTCTTTTATTTCTTTAAACCTTTTTTTTTGTCTAACCTCCTGTTTCAGATGAAGAACCACAGACAAACTCTTTTCAGTTCAATCTTTATTCCTCACAGAGTGAAACCATCAGCTCACATTCATGTTTCCATCTTTAACGGTCTGTCTGACCTTTGACCTCTGCAGCAGCTCAGCGGCTTGTTTTACATTAACCTGATTTAACAAGTTCTCAACCAACAGATGTTTGGGATGATGAGAGCCACAAAAAAAAAAAAAAAAAAAAAAAAAAAAATTAAAAACACAGGAAAAAAGTGAAGAAAAACTAAGTATTAATGTAGAAGAAAAAATTAAATAAAACACCTTTTTTACATATATTCATATAACTTGAGACATCGATCCACACATCATCCGCCTGAATGTCAGATTAATGATTTAATCTGATCTGTCTCTGGGGAGGGAGGTCAGATATATCCAAACATTCACCTCAGTCTGTTAAATTGTTCTGAAGGTTCTACTAAGTCTTTTAATTTGACATGGCTCAATAACTTCCTGTTACTGACTGCAGCCGTCAGGATTTGTTTTACAGAAGTTGTTGGACTGATCAACACTCCTCTGTCCACCGCTCAGAAGAAGACAAATGGTCCAGAAGAGACCAGGTCCATTAAAGTCATATTTTAATAAATAAATAAACAATCTATATTTAGGCATGAAGGAACACCTGAACTGAAGCCCAGGGGCCAGGTCAGAGGTCAGAGGTCAGTTTTCAGAGGAGTCGGTCTCTTCGGTGGAGCCGTCGCTCTCCACCTCCATCCTCCTCCGGTGGTGGATGTTCCTGCGGGGGGACGCCCTCCTCGGCACCTCCTTCAGCCCCCCGACGGCGCTGCCGCTGCTGTTGCTGCTGGGACTCACGGAGATCTGAGCGATTCTAGATTCATTCACACAAAAACATCAAGAAAGTCAGAAAGACAACTCTTCACTGTCCCTCAGCAGCTGCAGCTCGTCTTCAACATGCTCAGCTTGAACAGGTTCTGGTCCAAACTGTGTGAAACCTAAACATTCACTCCTCTGCTGCAGGCATCTTCAGCATCTGTGAATAGTTCAGTCTTTCCTAAAACTTTACGCCGACACAGAATAATAGAACCCACCTAAGAACCCAGAATACAGAACATTAGAGCGCAGGGAGAACCCAGAACCGCTGCACGGGTCACCACATCATTAAAACACTAAAAGTCCAGAAAACTGCTGTAGGTATAAAACATCCTTCTGTCCATCCTTTCTGAACATTTTAAACATGATTGACATATTAAAGATCTATATTTAAACGGTATAGGTGAAGGAGAACGTTCAGAACTGAAGCGTTCCTGAGTTAAAGGTTTCTCACTGAGCTGCGACCGTTAGGACAAACTCAAGTCCAACTCGTCTCCCGTGTGGCCTCATTCTGACATCCCTCCCTGCCTTTGTGTGCTCGACTCGCCTTTTTGATGTAATCTGAAGGATAATGTCAGAAACAAAGAGGGGCAGGTTTTAGTTCTTATTTACCCGTGACACATCTGGGACTATTTAGTTTAATTTTGAGTACAGTAGTCCCTCGCTACTTTGCGGTTGGACTTGCGTGGACTCGCTCTTTCGCGGTTTTTCAAAGTAGGATTGTACACGATGGAAAAAAAAACTGTGCACGACACACGACTGTCAACTTTAATTTTAATCACGTGATTGAGACAGTACAGGATACAGTACTGTACAATAAAAAGTTAAAAAAAAAACTTCAGATGCTGCCATTTTGTAGTTTTCTCTCAATAAGCCTACACTGTATCCCCACTCATAAGGACTACATTTCCCAGAAGCCAACAGTGCCCTGCCCAGAAGTCCCATTGCCTTCTGCTGAAATACATAGAGGGAAAGTTTTCATCTAATCAGAAAAAGTTCGGTCCTTTACAGTGACTTCGGCACCCAGCGGATTCAGAGAGCCGCACGGGACCGGAGCAGAACCGGACTTCCAGACCCATTGGTGAATCAGAGAGCTGGTAGCTGGTCCACAAGGACTTCTGAGCAGGGATGCGTCGCCGTAAGTCCGGCTTCTCTCTGGAGCTCACCGCCACCACCCCGAGCAAGAGAGCTGACCAGAACCAGCAGGGTAGGTCGGCCGCAACAGAACCAAGTCGGAGCGGAACCGAGCCGCTGCTGTTCTGCCAGCCGGTGAGTAAAATTTAGTAGCTACATAAAAGTATTTTGTTAAAATTAGTAGGTTTAAGATTTTAGAACATTGTGGGCTTCGACGCTACAGGGTAGGTCTGCAGAAACTGAACCAAGTTGGACTGGAACCGAGTGGAACCAAGAACTGCTGCTGTTCTGCTGAGCAGGTGAGTAAAATTTAGTAGCTACATAAACAGTACTGTACGTACGCTGTTAAAATTACATACCTTTAAGGGTTTAGAACGTTGCAAGAGTGTGGGAAGGGTTTATAAAGCCTTTATATATATATATATATATATATATATATATATATATATATATATATGTATATACACACTAAAATAAATAGAATGTTGCTACTTTGCGTATTTTCACTTATTGCGGGGGGAGGTTTGGAAGGTAACCCCCACAATAAATGAGGGACCACTCTATTATTTTAAACATGTTTAAGACTGAAGCAGAGCTGCGACCCTCTGTGACTCGAACAAGGAAGTGGACTGGGTCTCAGCCCAGTGAGAAACAGCCTTGTGAAGGATGAAGGTGTGTTTGTGTGTTTTTACAGCTTGTCCAGTTCCTGGTCCATTTCAGGGTCGATGAGAACCTCGGCTCTACTCGGTAATGCTCCTGCAAGAAACAACACAGAAAACCTGAGTTTTATACCTTAACAGGTCACAAACAGGATTTAAATTAAAATGTGTGAATGAACAAAGATCTGCAGGGTTCTGTTCGGTCTCAGTACCAGTAATCTGCTCCCTCCCTTCAACAAAAACATCTGGAACACAAATCATTAACTATATCACGACTTACATTTTACAACAAACATGTCGTTTCTTCATGTTCTTTGAGGAATTGTGAGATGATTAGAACGCGTTTATCACCACCGGCTGCTTGTTTTGTTCAAGTTAAAGTATCTTTATTATCCCACGGGGTGGGAAGCTGAAAGCTGCTGGACCAATCTGAGAGGAGGAACTCCCTGAGGCAGAGGAGGGAGGAGGAAAAGCAACCCTCCTCAGAGTGAAAGCAGCAGAGGTGAACTCACCGATGGTTTGGTTGATGCTCTCGTGTTTACTCAGACTCATGAGGAAACTGTAGTAAGAGACTTTATCGGTCTGCTCCAGGATCTCCTTCATGCACGTCCTGGACGGATGGCTGCACACAGACATGCAGACAGACAGACAAAAGACAGACAGACAAAAGACAGACAGACAGAGCATAAAAACATGTTGGAGTCATCAGTGAAGTCTTAGGTGTCATCAGGCAGCCGTCTGAACAGTTCACCTGTACTTGAACCGGTCACAGAGGGTGTCCACGCCCTGAGACAGCACGCATGACTCCACACCGTCCTGCTGCCGCTCCTCCTTCTCGTTTTCCTCCTCCGCTGCCGCGGACAGGAGCTGCTGCTCCACAGGGGTGGACGTGGGGACAAAGACGGTGTTGGGGCTCTTTCCTGCCAACAGGTCCTGGTAGATCAGCAGAACACCGTCCAGGAACTCTGCAGGAGACAACGTTTTATTTTACTTATCAGTTTGTTCAGAAAACTGAATCATCCAAGTTCAAATTTTACTGAGCAACGTTTTAATCGTTTTAAAGAAACGTGCACAAAGGAAGGCCTCAGAGCTCATTCTGTGAATGCTGAGTCAGCAAATCGTTTTCCTGTTTACAGTTTCTTCAGTAGGTTTTATAATCAAATTACTTCTGCAGACTTTGTGTTATTTTAGCCGTTCATCAATCAAAACGTTCAGCTCGATCCAAAATAAAGTGCTATGACTTTTGGTTTCTGTAACTTTAAGATTTTTCTAAATATATTTTTTATAGGAATGCAATAAAATTTCTTCAGTTCCATTTAAAAAATTGTTTCCCCTGAAACACTTAAAGCTACTATTTTGTACCTTTTAGCTTCTATTTTCCTACTTATAGCTTCAATTCTCCTTGTGTTAACTTTACCAACTCGGTTTCAACTTTTTTCATCAAACTTCTGTCGTCACAACAAGTACCATACATTTACACCTAAAAATTTTATTTTTCTAGTTTAATTCAAACATGAGTCTGGTGAACCTGTCCAGAGTCGGCGTGAGCTGCAAACACACACTCAAATGGTCAAAGGTAGAGTTGTGTACAATTTGTTTAACAGTGGTAGAAGAAAGCATGCATGAGGGACTGACAAGGTGTCCTCTGGTTAAAGACAAGGTCCCGTCATTGGGACACGTGTCCCCCCGCAGAGAGTTGATTGGATGGGCAGGTTTGTCCTTAAGGACAACGTGTAAAAAAAGCATCAAACCAAGAGCAACATCTGAGCCAACTCCAAGGTAACAGGACGTGACAACACCATTGACATCGAAAAAATAAATAAATCCACAATTTGTTCCATGAATGCTCGTCCTTCAGTGAGTCGTGTTGTTACCTTGGTAGTAGAGCTGCAGCTGAAAGGCATAAATGAAGTCCGAGAACGACATCAGGCAGTCAGTGGTGTCGTCCATCAGAACCATCCTGCAGAATGAGAGAATGACAAGAAATTCACTTCATACCAGCAGTTAACTCAGAGAAATGAGTTTTAATTTTGGATTCATCTTAAACTTTCATGTCACGATGAACCCTGGGAGCTTCACCCGTGACATCCTTGTTTCCCACGGCAGTGAACGCCACGCTGCGATGCAGCAGTGCTCAGGAAACTTTCTGATCACAGTTTTTTTCTTTTCTAACTTTTCCTTTAGAAATGTGTGAGAGAAGTGCTTCCAGTTAAAATCAAAGCAGCTCTGATTGTGCTGACCTGGCTGCTCTCTGCACCACCTCCAGTGGGAAGTCCGGACACAGTAACTGCAGCAGAGAGCGGTACTCCAGCACCGACAGGAGGTCTGCAATCGGACAAAAACACACAAACCCTCAGCTGAAACAACACCAGCCTCATGTTCCAACCTGTCTTCATATGGGCCAGTCTCCTCTAAAGCTTCAGACGTCAGTCATTAACGAGCTGGCTGATGACTTCATTACTCATCAATGACTTAATAGTTCAGAATGATAAAAAATGTCTAAGAAATGTCCTTGCAGCTTATAAAAAGTGTGCTTCTGTCAGCTTTCTAAGTGTTCTGTGACAAAGTGCTATTTAAAAGAAGTCAGGATGTTTGCAAACTGAAACTTTAGTATTTTTCTCCTCTTTCTAAGGTTCGTCTTCGCAGCTCTCACCTCCACTCTTGCCGATCTGTCTGAAGCTCCTCCAGAAGACTCTGATGAAGGCCGCTCGGTTGTGCTGAGTGGCTCTGATGTAGTTGAAGTCCCTGAAGAGCACGTGGTTGCTGTTCTTCACACTGCTGAAACTAAAAGCACACACGTTTACTGTACTAACAGCTCGTAAAGAAACAGATTTATGAGAATAATTTAATCCCCGATTTCAGTCTTAAAGGTAGAACCTCCTCTGAAATACCGTGATAGGCAGAAAGTTCTGATCCAGTTAGACTTTTCCACCCACAGATTATTCATCAGATCGGCTCAAATGTTTTGGATCAACAGACTTTCTGAGGACCTCTTTGTTTAATTTCTGCATCCAGAATATATTTATGCTGTTATGTGGTCTGCGTTTTGGCAAACTTTAGTTCATTTAAATATTTTTAATCGAACTGGTGTGGAGGATTTTATTGATGCAACAATAAAACAATCAGCAACAAATTTTACCCAAAAACTATATATTTTTTTTTTGTTTCAACAAATCAAACAAGCGATTTATGTCTTGGTTCACTTTGGTTTTAGTTTATCCATCCATCCACCCACCATCTTTAACCCGCTTCTTCCTTTTTTCGTGTCACGGGGGGTCACTGGTGCCCATGTCCAGCTATCACAGTGCGAGAGGCAGGGGACACCCTGGACAGGTCTCAAGTCCATCACAGGGATAGAGACAAATGAGACCAACTATACGCTCTCTCACACCTAGGGACAATTTAGAGTTACCACTCAGCCCAACATGCATGTTTTTGGTCTGTGGGAGGAAACCAGAGTATCTGGAGAAAACCCACACATGCACGGAGAGAACATGCAAACTCCACCGAGTAAGGCCCCTGGCCGGGATTTGAACTGGCGACCTTCTCGCTAAGAGGCAACCGCTCTACAAACTGATCCACCGTGCCACCCCATTTTAGTTTATTTTATGGATAATAACTAAAAAGTGGCTTATTAATAATAAAAAAAATATTAATAATTTGTATGCTTCTTTTGTGACTGTCTATTGTTGTTGTTATCCACTTTTGTCAACACACTTTGTTAAAGAAATCAGGTCTCTCTTGTAAATGAGTCCCCGAGGCTCAATGAATGAATTACATAACTGGAACAGAACAGATGCTTTTGTAACATGGTTTAATATTTGTACTTTTCCATTTTCAGTTTTGATCCATTTTCAGTTTTGATTCAAATTATGATAAATATTAAAAAGGA